CTTCATTTGGATTCCTTAACAATGTTCCAGATTTGAACTTTTTTCCCTTCATTTTTTCCCTTCCGATTTCGTTGTAAAGTCCTATCCTTTTGACCTCTTTGAAGACATTATCCCCTGATCTCTTTGAAGACATTCTTTGAAGACATTATTTCCTGATTTTTATCGAGTGTTTTCTTAGGTGACTTCGGTCATTTAAGATGTAATTAACTATAGGAGCTTGTCCTTATAGGAAGTTTTTCCGAACCCAACTTGAAATAAACCTATTTAATCATTTGTATTAAATAGGGGAACTTGTCGGCAAATAAAACGGTTTCGCAGACCCAAACGGATGTCATATGTTTTCCTAGTTTATTTGATTGAGTCTCATCCTCAAGTCTTGTGTTTATCCCTCAGGATAGATACAGGATTTGAGGTAGAGCGCTCTTTCATTTAAACTGTGAAAAATATGAGGTCAGTTTGATTTCATATTTTTTCTAAAATTACATATATATATATATACACGTAAATTAAAACGTCCTTTCGAAGCGGGCGATTAGATTTCAATTCCGGCTGCCGACAGCTTTTTACGGACGACCGCCCAAACAACCTCTCTTTCTCTTCTTTTTTGTGCCGACAGTGCCTGATGCTTAGATTTTCTCTACCTCTAGAGACAACTGCTCGCTTCTTGCTCGTTCAAGTGATAATGTTTTCCCATACATAGGAATAATACCTAGAAGTGGGCCTTCTATCCGTGAGTTCTTCTGCCCAACTAGCATCAGTGTAAATCTCTATCTCCTTGTTGTTTTGATTTCTTAAACATTAACCCTATGCTAGGTGCCTTTTTAAGAAACCTTAATATTTTCTAAAATATCTCTAAATATTCTTCATTCAGACTATTCATATGCTGACTCACAATGTCGACAAAGTGACGTTTGGACTAGTGTGTGATAGGTAGAAAAGCTTTGCCACTAATTTCTGACATCTTTCTTTTTACTAGGGTTGTAAACGAGCCAAGCGTGAGCGAGCTCAGGCTTGGCACGTGTTCGACTCGTTTGAAACAACTCGCGTTCGAAATCGGCTCGTGTTTGAAATCGACCCGTGAACAGTGTGTTCGTGTTCGACTTGATTTAAATATTCGTATTTGTGTTCGGCTCGTGTTCAACTTGAATTGACTTGTTAAAATTAAGTTGAAAAAAATATATGTAAAGTGTTGGATTCGAACCTGGATCAAATGTATGCAAAAGAAGACACTAACCACATTGCCACACGAGGTGTTACAATTTAAACTTAAATATAAATATATAAAATATATTATTATCAAAAGAATATATGTAATATATTATTATATAAATAATTATATAATATTTTTTTTTTATTTCGAGCTAAAACGAGCCGAACACGAGCGAATAAGAGTCGTTCGTGTTCGGCTTGTTTATTTAACAAACGAGCCGAACACGAGCTGTTAGCGAACAACGAGCTTTTTTGACAGCCCTACTTTTTACAATACAAGTGGGGCTACATTGCAGGTTTTAAGGTCGTGATGACTATAATGCAAGCGATGGGATGGTGAGGTGAGGTGAGGGATACGATTTGTTCGGGCTGTTGTGTTTCGGCAAGGAGATGGAGGTTGGATCGGGAAGAAGGAGATGATGCAGTTCGATAACAGGATGAGATAGAGACGGCTGTGGTTGCGGTAAGCTGGTGATTAGGGCCTGCGCAAGACTCAGGAAAATGATATGGGGATTTTTGCTTATGGGGAAGAATGCATAGAGGGAAAGAATATTAGGATTTTATTTTCTTTGGATAGAATAGGACAAAAAGGAGGCACATGTCTGGAGTTGTGAATTTATGTACAGGTAAGCTATTAAATTTTGAGGGGTTGTGAGTATAGTGGAATGTGTGTGTGTGTATATATATATATATATATATATATATATATATATATATATACACATAGTATGAAAAGCCCAAGGGTTTATTTTATTGAAATAGAAAAGATACATAAAAGTTGTATGAGAGGGCCCAATAGAGGCACCCTACCCATACGATACTAAGTACAATAATACCCAACAAAAAGATACAGAAAGTCTCAAAAAAAATTTAAAACGCGCAGAAAATAAATAGCTAGAAACGAGCCACTTTAGTCCTGCCTCTTATATAGATATGAAATTCCTCTCATCAATTTCCCCATTATTGCGCTCTAGAAAATGTATCATCAACCTTGTGTTTTTGTAAATTTTGCATTCGTTGTTTGTGTGAGGACCCGCCAAGCATTTTTTATATTTTAGGCTTGTTGACATATCATTTTGTGACTCAATGACGATCAGAGTAGTCTAAACTCAATGCTTGCATCATCACATTCATTGCTCGTCACCTCTATTGGATAACCCTTTGTAGATATTTTTAGTGTGAACATCGAGTTATGAAAATTATTTGTTGGTCAACATTCCATGGAAAAAATTAACGTTGCACCTCAAATTTCCAATCTTCATCAGAAGAAATCACTGAAATGTTTGGCATTCATGAGAAACATAGCGCATGAATGACATGCAAGTCATCCCTTTTTGAAGTGTATATATTCATTAGAGTGCAAACAACCTTAAGCAACAAGGTAGTATCTTTAACAATGTTGAAATTATAGTTGTTCCATTATGTGCGCTATCGTAACTAATTTTATTTCAGTAATTTTAGAAGTTAATCTAGTCAAAGGCTAACTTCACTATAGTTGATCCATGGATGAGAAACTAGCTCATGTAGGTTCCTATGATAAAAACTACCCTATTCTATTATCCAATCGTTTTTTAGAGTAACAAAAAAGATGCACTTTTAGAAACTGCCAAATTTATTCACCAGTTGAGTTTGATGCTCCGTCATTACTTTATTTGCTTACCATCCCCCACCCCCATGAATTTGGAGAAGTCTGTGCTCACATTTTCTTTGTACAATTTTCCTCAGTAGTGACATTCAACCTCTCTCTCTCTATCTCTCTCCCTTTTTTCATTTATGCCCACTGTGTGTCTTTTAGTTTGATTGTGCTTCTGTAAAATTGATCCATATCAGAAGTCTTCCTCTTCGTCTTTTTCCTGGATTCATCAAACAAACAAGCCTCGGCATTATTCAAAATGATTTATTTATTTATTTATCATATAATAGTGTCATAAGGTGCTCAAACAATGAACGTATGGAATGCATAAAAAATGACACTTCCTTCAATTTTTGCATATATGTTAGGTTTAACTTTTCTTAAAGATATTGTGATATCAAGGAATTGGATATATTATTTTAATACAGAAGTCAAACAGTTGCTGTCTAATACTGTCGATTGTTAACTTGGTCTTATTAAGGGTTTCAAATCTAATTTGTAAATCTTTTGCGATCTTCTGAAAAGCGACACTGCAAAGAATTTCTATCTTTTGTAGACGATCCGTAAAACTGAAAAATATAGATCTATATGATTTTATTCTTTTCTTTATTTACATCAAGAAAAATTCTTCCTTCCAAAGGCTTTAGAAGAACCACTTTTAACAAAGATTCTTCCACATGTTGCCCTTCTAATGCTAAGTAATTGTTAGCATCGATTTTAGCACGCTGCTGGAACACAGGTGAGGATGAGTTACTCTATGGGCTTTCCTGATCTACTTGATTGGGGCTTACAAACAAAATATTTAAAATAAATCTTTATTTAGCTCAAAAGAGCTGTTTAAGAACACATTTAAGCCTGTGATTGATTTAATATCCCCACTCACAACAACAAAAGAGGATAAGAAATATCTCTGATTCTGGGTAATGATCCCATCAAGCTGCATTCATAGGGCGTGGGGGTGATTATCCATTAGCAATCCCAAACATGAACCAAATTCCATTGAAATGGACGGCATTGATTGAGCTTACCAAAATGATCCATTCGCTCTCCCCAATTTTTTTCTTCTTTCTATTTGCTCCTTTTTTCTCAATCATTGCAGCCGGCATTAGAGAAGATGAAGAGGGAAACGAGATATCCAATTAAATACTCATGCAAATCCATTGTTGGTGACTTTTTAAAAGCAGTTTGTTGTTTCTGAGATTTGATTTTAATCGAGCTACATCATATTAATAATTAGGTAAATTTACATACATACTGCTCAATTCTTATGGATTTACATATCTAACACAAAATTTGATATTTACGTTTATAGCACCTTGGTGTTATAAACCTATGCATAAAAAGATGGATTTGACTTCTAAAAGATTAGTAAAAGTGGTATTTTTTATGTGATTTTAAAGATTTGAGTGTTATGAATGTAAATATCATTGTTTAGGTGTTAGATATGTAAATACATAAGAATTGTATTGTGTGTGTGTGAATTCCCCTAACAATTAATGTCTTACAGATACGGAAAGGACTTGGTATTCACCTTGGTTTCACAGATTGCTAGTGATTTTGAAAATGACCCTTACGGTTGAAGATGAGTGTTTGAGCTGACGAACAAAAACATGGTTCTTATTTTGGGTTGTTTAATTTGAGTCAAGCTCTCTCTAGATCTAGTATAATGAATACATCCAGATAACATTTGCATCCCAACATGCTCTATCACACTTTCTATCATTTAAAAATAATAGTTTTTTTTATTTTTTTCTCATAGAAAGACAATTTCAATTTTATATTCTCCAATTAAACAGTGTCAACTTCTATATCAAACCATGAAAAAATACTTCCATATAATTTGTGGTTTGGCGCTCACCATTGCCAAAAAAAAGAAAGAAGAAAGAAAGAAAAAGAAAAAGTAAACAGAAATTGGGATCATTCTAATGCAAGCATTAAAAGTTTTTGGAAATGTGAGCGCATGAACATTATTTTTGCTGGAAAATATAATTCGAATTTGTACTAGCAGTTCAGAGTCAATCTTCTAAAATAAACTTTGGCTTGTACATTGGTCTAACTCTTGTATTGTGGTATTTGATGAAAATTGAGTTTCTTTTTTGAACTGTGTAAGTTTCATTTTTGGGAGAAAAACTTATTTTTGAAGATCACGTTGTTTCAGGCTGCTCTTAAAGCTGCCAGAGAGACAAAGGATGGGAGGGACGAGGAAATAGCATCTCTACGACAAGAAGTAGAGGTAATTATTTTTCTTTTCTTCTAAGCCTTTATAAATATTAAAATTTATTAGTTCTACAAACGTAGCTTGTTGCAATTGTTGAGCCAGGCCTTTCTTTTTTGTACCAGGGTGCAAGGGAGGAAGTTTCTTCTGCTTTGGAGCAGTTGAGAGAAACTGAGACTGAAGCTAAAGCTCTTCGCTCAATGACACAAAGAATGATATTGACAGAGGAAGAGATGGTTTGCACATGAGCACCAGCTAATGGTTGAATCTGTTGTCTTTTTATTTATTAGTGTTCTGAAAATTTATTTTGGGATTGTGTTTAAAACCTTAGGAAGAGGTTGTTCTTAAGAGATGTTGGCTTGCTCGTTATTGGGGTTTGGCTGTCCAGTATGGTAAGAACTTTCCAGCATTATTTCTTATAATTTTGTTATTCTTTTGTTATGTCAATGATGAATGTTCGATTTTTAACCTATTATAATCTATTATAATTTTATTTGTGAGTTCATCTCTTTCTCTCTCTATCTGCACGCGCGCACACATTGAAAGAAAAAAGAAATAAATCTAATGCAATTTTTTACATTTTTCTATGCATGTTCAGTCATCATGAATAAAGAGTTGGCGCATGAAACTTGATATTATCATATTATGGTATTCTTGCCATTATATTGTAAAATAGCATTATTTAAAATTTGAGTTTATTCGAATGGCTTACTGAACTAATGATTCCTAAAGTCCTGTTGTCTTTAATTTTTTTTATGGTGAATCTCACTTTTTGAAGGCTTATCCACCCATAAGATAGCGAGAGATTTTATGCTTTGTACTTCTAGTGTTCGGTGGAAAAATGAAAGTAGATGAGGACTTGGGGGATAAATTTATATTGTTTTTGTAACAACCCGAACTTTCATGGCACCTTGATGTTTAAGAGTTGAACTTCATTCTAGTCAAGGGGCTTCACAATTTTCTTGTTCACATAATACTAAGAAGGTTTTTAATGTTTTCTTTAGATTATCAAGTGGTGGCAAATTGATCTGACTTTGTGACATGGAGCAGAGAGGGGGTCCCAAGGGTCGGTCTGTCCTCTCTCTAGGGCTTGGGTTGCCCCCAACTCCTAATAGCCGCAAGTGTGTTTTTCGTTTGTTTATTTTTATGAGAATTAGGTCATTTGTTGATTATAAGTAGTCTTTTATTGTATTAAGGGTTTTTTTGTTCATTTGAGTTTTTGTGAGGGTATGTGCTCCCGTTGTGGTTCCTAAATCGGGACGAGTCTATATCCATGGCATTGCGTGGTGAAATTGTATCCCTCCATTGTTGGCGGTGACAACCCCGTTCTCCTTTCGTCTATTCTTCAAGTGCTGAGTTTTGTATCCCAGTCAGTTGCGAGAGTAGTAAATTCTTATATCTTGTATCTTTATTTGATCAGTGCATCTCGTCTTTGTTCAGGTTATTTTTTTTTTCCTATCTCAAATTGCTTTCTTGGTTGTTCTTGTTGAATCTTACCCTGTTTTTCACTGCAGTTTTCCAATTTGATTCCCTTCTTGCTCGTTGCCACTGCCTCGCACAGCCATCCCATTTTGCCCTGCAGTCCGTTGCTTCGCCTCCTTCGCTGCCACCATCTTCCTCCACTGCTGCAGCCACCCGAGACAACAATCTTTTCCATTAATCCTGCAGTCTATCCACCCACCACCAGCTTCAATCAATCCAGCCTGCTGCCTCGTGGCCGCGGCCTCTTTCCCCTTGCTGACTTCATCCGAAAAATAACAAACCTGCTGTCTTCCTACTGTCGCCTGGCTGTTCCAGCCTTTCCCATTGAACCTCATAGTTCTGCTTGCTACCTCACTTGCGATCCCAGTCTCCCCAACTGATATTTTCATCCCCTTTCATTACATTGCCACTATTTCCCCGTAGTCCCGCAGCTTCCCTACCTTGCCGCCACTTTTTCGACCACCTAGCCGACCTCTACCACTCCCCCTAATGTGCGTTTGTGTCTTTTTTTTTTTGTTTTAATTTTCCTTCAAATATGTTTAGTTGTAACCACATTTATTTTTAATAATAACATTTTCTTTTTCTATTGTGATTTGGGTTAACTCTGGTATCAGGATGGTTGTAAAATATTTTCTAAAATTAAATATTAGTTTTGTGACTTCTGTCCAGTGAAGTGCATAAGCCTGAAATGTTTTTTTTTTTTAAATTATGCTCTAATTAATTTACTTTGTGCCAAGCGACGCATATTGCTTCAGATTATTATGAATTACTTTAGTTAGATTTGCTGCAGATTGCCTTTGTATTGCCGCTACTACTGTCATCTCTAAATCCACTTTTGTTTTCAGGAGTATGCTGTTCGAAGCCTAACCTTCCAATTATCTCTATTTTGTCGAATTCTTTCTCTAATATTCCTTTCTTTATATAATCGGTTTTCCGTCAGATGATGATGCTTTCATTACATGATCACTTTTCCATCAAATGATCTGACAATAGTTGCAATATAAATCACCCTTTTGAGCCCAGGAAAGTTTAAATTTATGCAGGCTAACCAAAAGAAGTCAAAAGGGCCATAATGAAGTTGAATCCGACCAATTTTCAACCTCTTTCAGTATCATTTTGAATTGATTTCTTTTATTAGGTAGAATTATGTATTATGAATGAATAAGTTTAGTTTTTAGATGTAATTTGGCTTAGTTACAAGATAGGGGATTAAATTTGATTTAAATTCTAGGCCTTTTGTATGCAACCTTATTTCTATTTGTAGAGATTGTTGACATATAATTTTATTTATTTCAGAAGAAAGAAATAAACCAAAAAACTTAGTATTTCATTCAACATATGTGTTTAAATAGATGTTACAACGTTTAACAAATAAACCGAATAAAATCCTCTTATTACACATAACTCTCAACCTCCCCCCTCAAGATGGGTAAAAGATATTTACTAAGCCCATCTTGTCACATAATCTAACTCCACAGAACTAAGTTCTTTAGTGAGGCGACCACCCACCTAGTCTCTACTGGCTCCATGCCTTTGTTTCAACAATTCATTATTCAACTTCTCTTTGATGAAGAACCTATCAATCTCCACATGTTTACTTCTATCGTGTTGCACCTGGTTGCTAGCAATGTTGATTGCCGACTTGTTGTCACACCGTAACTTCATTTGAGTTCCCTGATCCACTTTGAGGTTAACCAACAAGGCTTTTAGCTACTTCATCTCTGTAACTCCTAATGCCATGACCCTGTATTCTGCCTCTATTTTTGATCTTGTTACAACTGACCGCTTCTTGCTCTTCCATGAGATCAAGTTGTCACCTACAAACATGCAGTATCCTGATGTGGATTGTCCGCCATTAGCACAACATTCCCAGTCAAAATCTCAAAAGCCCTCAATATCAACATGTCAATTCTTCCTGAATATCAACTCTTTCCATGGTGCACGCTTCAAATACCTTAGAACTGATACATTGCATTCATATGACCCTTCCTTGGATCATGCATGTAGCAGCTCACCACATTTACTGCAAAAGAAATATCGGGTCGAGCGTGTCACAGATAGATCAGGCAGCCCACCAGCCTTTGGTATCTGTCATGGTTAACTGATTCACCTGTTTCTGTACTGAGCTTGACCTTCTGATCAATTGCAGAGATTGCATGTTTGCACCTCCGCATACCTGTCTTCGTGAGAAGATACAATACATACTTTCTCTGGGATAGGACTATCTCCTCAGGTCCATGGGTCACTTCAATCCCAAGAAAGTGTCTAAGCTGTCCCAAATACTTTATCTCAAATTGCTTCCCCAATCTTTCCTTCAATTAAGCAATCTTTGTCTCATCATCACCAATGATAATTTTGTCATCCAATACACAACATTATGGTACCGCGACCTTCTTGTAGCTGAAAGAATATCATGTGGTTGCATTGATTTGCATGATATCCCCTACCAACCATCGCCATTCTAAACTTTTTAAATCAAGCTTGAGGAGATTACTTTAAGTCATACAGTGACTTCCTGAGCCTACACACCTTGTCTACTGTTGGTATGTATTGAATTCTGGTGGCATCTCCATATATACCTCCTCCAGTAGCTTCCCATGAAGGAAAACATTCTTCACATCCAATTGGAGTCTTCATCCACCATTCACTGTCACAGAAGTCGGTGTCCTTACTGTGCTTTTCTTTGCTACTGGTGCAAAGATTTTATCATAATCAATGTCATACATCTGACTGTACCCTTTTGCCTCTAGTCGTGCTTTGTACCTCTCCACCTTCCCTTTTGGAGTTTGCTTTACCGTAAAGATCTATTTGCATCCAACCATCTTCTTCCCTTTTTTTAGTGGTACAATCTCCAATGTTTGGTTTTTAGTAGGAGTTCTAAGCTTTTTATGCATCGTTGCTTTCCACTTGGGATCCTCTTTAGCAACCTGACAATGCTTGGCATAGAGATAATGTAATGAGGCAGTGAATGTTTCATGCAAATATGAGATGTTAGAATAAGAAATAAAGTTCACAATGTCAAGTTCCCACCCAAAATGATCAAGAGGATGTCCCGCATTACTGTGGGAGGTCCGCCTTAACGTTGGGGGGCAGAGGGGTAGTAGTGGACGGAGGAGAAATAATATCACCTGAGAGTTTTGAACTAAAGATGGATGTTGCAGGTGTCTCAAGAGTTGGAAATAACCAGGTCAAGACTCTGTACCCTCAGTTTTCTTCTTCCTTCGTCGACACATCCTTAGCTCACCTTCAACTTGAATCCCTCCACCTCTGGGTCTCATCGATTTCCATCTCCTTAGTTCATTCATTCCGCATCATATGACATGACATTGCTCCCACTTACGTTACTCCATCACCACTACTACTCACACTCTCTTGTTTCATATCTCTAGTGTTTGTTGAGTCTCTGAAGGGTGAATTCACCTCAAGAGTGTAGTATGATTCAAACTCGCATTTACACTCACAAAGAGTCTTTTCAACCAAACTCCGACAGACATAACTCTTCTTGAGTAGCAGAATAACTCACAAACACATATTTCACAGTTTTGGGATCCAACTTCTCTACAGATAACCTGTTGTTTTTCACAAAGCATACTAATCCAAATTCCTTCAAGAGAAGGATCCCACTATTGTTTTTTTTAACAGTTGACAATGAGACTTCCGCTCTAGCATTCTTGAAGGTATCTTGTTAATCAATTGAGTGTTTATTAACACGGCTAACCCCCATAAGTGTTGTGGGACATTCATTGTCATCATCATGCTTCGGGCTACATCTAGAAGATGTTAATTCTTCATCTCTGCTGCTCCATTAAGTGTATGGGTATATTGTTTGGTGTTGTATCCCTTGAGTTGACAGATAGTCCCCAAATGTTTTGTTGATATATTTCGTCACATTATCAGATCTCAGTGCTTCACAACCGCAACATATTGGAGGAGGAATAATATCACTTGAGAGTTTTAAATTAAAGGTGAATGTTGCAGGTGTCTCAAGAGTTGGAAATGATCGAGCAAGGGACTTGTTAGCACTGAAGACTCTGTTCCCTCTGTTTGCTTCGTTCTCCGTGTGCACACCCTTACCTCACCTTCAACATGAATCCCTCCACCTCTGGGGTCAGTCTCATTGATTTCCATCTTCTTAGTTAATTCATTCTACATCAAAGGACATGACATTGCTCCCACTTGCATTACTCCATCACCACTATTATTCACTCTATTGCCTCATATTTGCAGTGTCTGTTGAGTCTCTGAAGGGCGAATTCATCTCCAGAGTGTAGTATGACTCAAACTCTCTGAATGACACAACCACACTCATAAAGAGTCTTTTCAATCAAACTCCAACAGACATAACTCTTTTGAGTAGCAGAATAACTCACATTTCAATGTTTTGGGATCCAACTTCCCTTCAGATAACCTGTTGTCTTTCTCAAAGCATACACATCCAAATTTCTTCAAGGGAAGGATCCCACTATTGTTTTTTTTTCAACAATTAACAATGAAACTTTCGCTCTAGCACTCTTGAAAGTATCCTGTTAATCAATTTAGCGGTTATCAACATGGCTAACTCCTATAAGTGTTGTGGGATAGTCATTGTCATCATCATGCTTAGGACTATCTCTAAAAGATGTTGATTCTTCCTCTCTGCTGCTCCATTTTGTACTATTGTGTATGAGTGTATGGTTTGGTGTTATATACCTTGAGCTGACAGATAGTCCCAAAATGCTTTGTTGATATATTTTGTCCCATTATCAGATCTAAGTTCTTCACAACTGCACCAAATTGGACCTGAATTGCCTTATGAAAATCTTTAAAGCAAGCAAACACCTCATTCTTTTGTTTCATCAAGCATGTCTAGGTAACACGAGAAAAAAACATTCAATAAATGTACTATAATAACGATAATTATTCATAGAATTAGTAGGACAAGATTTCTATAGATTAGAATGTATCAAATCAAACACACAAGAGCTTCTATTGACATAATTGACATAAGAGCTCCTAGTGAGCTTGCTAAACTTACAAACATCTCACACCAATTTTTCTTTATTTGCCTTTTCATACATATATGGATACAACCAACTCAGTAAACTAAGACTAGAGTGTCTCATACGTTTGTGATGTAGCAGTAACACATCATCGACTTCCTCCCAGATTCTTCTACAACAACACTTTCCATCATGGATGCCAAAACTGAGTACATCCCATCTCGGTTCAAGTACCAGAGTCTGCTATGCCACGTTTTAGTCCCAAGTGTCTGACCTGTCCCTTTCTCTTTGAAAATCACCTGATGAATATCAAAAGAAGCAGTGCATTTTAACTGACGAATAATGACACTAATGGATAAGAGGTTTATTGAAAAAGAAGGAGCATGCAAAACTTTGAACAAAGTCATATGATTGGTTCATATCACTATATCATTGCCAATTATAGGCAGCGTTGTACTATCAACTGTTTGTATACTCTTTGGTACTGTTAGATGAGTATATGAAGAGAACTCTCTAGCAGTAACAATCTTTTGATAAGAAACATCAGAATCTATGATCCATTCTGATGATTATGTAATGAAAATAGAGGCAAGAGCAAGTGTGTCATCAATACTTTTGCTGAAATGAGCATAAGTAGCATTGTTACCTCTTGATGTCGTTGTATTTGAAACATCTTCAACTCCATCTTTTGCTGCTTTTTGTTTTCTCTTCAACAGCTCCAGACACTCATAAGCCTCACCAGTAAAGATCACACTGTCTCTTCCTTGTTCTTTGCTACCATCAGATTTGCCCGGTAACCCCATTTTTCACATTTGCAACCCCAACGTCCCCGACCATGACCTCCACCTTTTTTGCCTCCATCCGTCTCTCTCTTCTTTGGTGGCTTAGGACAGCCCTGCTCAGATGACTAACTTCATCACAGTTGTAGCACTTGGGAGTCTCTTTCTAGACACCTAGCATATCTGGGCTCATAGCGGCTAATGTTCATCGTGCACCCAAAAAATTACTCGGCTCAGAGTGTAGCTTTATGCGATTTTCCTCCTGTACCATCGCAGCTATAACCTCACCTAGTGTAGTAATTGTCGCCTTAGCTAGCAAGACAGATCTTCTCTCATCAAATGTCAGATTCATATGAGCTAGAAACGGTAGAGTCCTCATCTATGTAAAGATCTCTCATTTTTTGCACTCTGGATTGCTATAGCTTGACATCAGTGAGAAGTAGTCAAGATTCGCCCACAACCTTTCCAAATCTATGGAGTATTCCTGAATTGTTTTCTCACCCTTGTTCAACAGCTTCTATCTCCGCTTTGAATCTGGAATACCCTCATGTGCTTTTCAGTCCCAGCATAAATCTTTTTTAGCTTTGCCCAGATATCCCTCACTTTTCAAATGTCATTGACCAAGGACGCAATTAACGGAACTATTGAGCTGAGCAACCAGGTGTAAATTAAGGCTTGAGTGATCCGTCGCTTACCCTCTCAGCACCGTACTTGGTTAGATATCTCTCCAGTCTTCTCCCTATTAGAGCCGCCTCAATCCGACGTGACCTGATTAGCTATGTAGCCTGTTTATCAAGCTTCAAATCCATAGGAGGGAGATCTAGCTTCACCTGCGTCGAAGCATGTGTTGAAGTCGTTGTTCCTAATGAGGCACTAGCTCCATGAATGATCTCTACTAGGACCTTCAGGACCTCAGGATCAATTATTCTTAGAAGATTTAATCCTTTAGTCTCCAAACTATCTCCATCTCCCATCATCTTCAATCTCCAAGACTCCCTTCTAGGTTATACACACCATGAACAATTTTCTTCTGCCTTTAGGCTCAGTTTTGATCTATCTCATCTTTTGTGTGGCGGTCGGACTGTAAAAGGTGCAGCGGCGGCGACTTGGACAGATGACTGCGGCTGCTTGGAGGGCGGCGGCTTGGATGACAACGGGTCAACTAAAGATGGTGGGTGCGACGAAGGAGGCGCTATTGAATTGGCTGGAGGGACATTTAACTAAAAATAGGGGTTGGAACATTTAACAAATAAACCCAATAAAATACTCTTATTACACATACTCAACAATTATTAGTATTGATGAGTGAATTTTTTTTTTTTTGTAAATCGATCGGTCCAATTGGTGATGTGAAGTCTTTTTCTTCCCCTCTATCGTTTTTGTTTTTCTATGCTGCTGAGATTATTAGTTCTTTCTAATTTGTCATGTCGATCTCGCCACAATTGAATTATTTGCAATTCACCATGTCGATTTATATCTAATGTTTTTTGGACACTTTGTATATCATTTTCTTATCTCAAGCTAATTGATGAGGATTCCTGAATAGAAAAAGTTGAAGAAATAGTTTTTATCATCCTCTTTAAATATTAGCATGAGTTTCAAAATGAACTATACTCCGTTGTGGTATTTTTATTAAGGAAATTTACAAACGTAGCACACAACTCTTATGTATTTACATATCTCACACCTAAACTTTCATACTCACATGAAACTTTAGTGATTTAAACCCATGCATGAAAGGTGTATTTCACTTTTAAAAAGTGATAAATAATGCTATTTTTGATATGATATTAAAGATTTGAGTGTCATTTGTGTAAATGTAAAAGTTTAAGTGTGAGATAATACACAAGAATTGTGTGCTCTGTGTGTAAATGCTCCTTTTTATTAAAACACTTATGGTGGTTTTGAATAACAACTGCGGAGTTCTAGTTTTTTTAGATTGATTGTATTTTTGCTTTTAACGGTTTTCTTTTCTAAAAGGAATCTATTTAGAGATAGCCATTTCCAAAAATGAGCATTGGTCTTCACTGGCCCCTCTTCCCCTTGAAGTTGTCATTTCTGCGGGACAAAAGGCTAAAGAAGACAGGAGTAACGGTTAGTTTTATTTATTTGATTTTCTATCAACTATTCTTGCGAAACTTATCTTGTTAGAATTATTTTTTGCTTAGTTGGTAATGAAAATGAAAGAGGTAAGCCTGTACGTGAATTGAGTGATTTTACTGGAGAAGGAAACATAGAAAGCATGCTATCAATCGAGAAGGGATTAAGAGAACTTGCTTCTTTAAAGGTTCCTATTATCCTTTCTTTTTGAAGTTGTTTTATTCTTCTTTTTTAATAATTTTTTCTTACTGAATGAATTATTTGTCGATTAAAATATATGAGTATTCTGCAAGAAAGATATTGTTACGTTCTACTTTGGAGTTTCAATATTTCATGTTTAAATCTAATCTTTGCACACATTTCATTTGAAGGTTGAGGATGCTGTAGTTTTAGCAATTAGCCAGCAGGGAAGACCAAGTCTACTTCGACAATCCGCATCAGGTTTTTATCAACATAAGTGACTACTTGCTAGCCCATATTGTGTTTGGATTTTAAGCATAGCTTCCTCATAAGTTTAAGTTTGATTTTTTATCATTGGCGTCTTTCCTCTGGTTCGTGGAATTTCTGCCTCTCTCTCTCTCTCGTATCATTTCCGGTTTTCAGTAATTCTTTTTTTTTATAATTATGGTACTTAACCTTATCCCTAACTATTTTGAGCGAGTTTTATGATTCTTCATTCTCGAGTTATATATATTGAGTGTAGTATGTGGTGTTTGATTTATACACAAATTTTCTTGCGCAACTTTCTTCCACCATTATTTAAATCTATCCCTCCTACTTCACAATTCTTTGATGCTTATTCTTATATGCATATTTAAGGGTTCGTTTTTTACTCTGGTATTTATCCAAATCACCCAAGTTTATTTTCTGTTGGTATATCTTCAATAAATTTTGTTTCCATTGTCCCTGTATAATCATTCCTCAAATTATCTATCCTAGTTTTAACACAATCATATCAGCATTCTATTTATTGCCGTGCTCCACCTAGCTATCAATGACATTTTTTTGACCCAAGAGTTGGATCCACATAGCATTGCTGATCTAATGATTGTAAAGCTCAGACTTCAATGAGTTGAGACATGATAATGGCCTCATTTTCAATTGGATTTTTTTCTTATAATTATTATTACATTGGTTGAATTTTATTTTTATAATGTTAGTGTATTTTTGGTTCGAAATGTATAATCAAGAAAGTAAATGAGGATCATATTTTTTTGGTAATTTGTGCCACTATGAGACATTCAAAGTCAAATTTCCCAACATTAATTTGCAATTGAACTAATTTGAGAAATACTTTGATTGAATCTTATGAAAATTTTAAATTTTAGTGTTTAGATTAGGGATCTAGAAGAGATGCAAGATAAGTATTTCTTTTTTTGGTCACTGAATTAACAAGTTTATGTTAGGAATTGATTATTGAAGTTCAAATATATATTGTCAAAATAAGACGGTCTTTTTTTTTCACCATTATGGTAAAAACTCAGAAATCTCTGGCACAAAGCATATCTTAGAGATTTGGGGGATGGATATAAAAACAGATGTACAATTAAATAAAAAAAAGTAAAAATTATAATTTATATAATCAATCCATTAACATGGTAAAATTGAATTAATGATGTTTTATTTATTGGTGTTTCTATAATTTATAATATTTTAGTGGTTCGGTCACAAACCTCCCTTTAAATTCTAGGTTTTTTTATTGTTTCATCTGGCTGAAGGCATACATATTTTTGCTTATAAAGCTAGCCCAAATAGTTGGGATTAGGCTTGCAAACGAATCAAGCAAGTTGGAAGCTATTCAAACTCATTTTATTAAATGCTTATTTGAGCTCAGCTCAAGCTTTATTCAAGCTTTCGTAGTAATATTCAAATTTGGCTAAATTTAAATTCATGTTTGTTCGAGCTTTATTCAAGCTTTTGTAGTAGTATTCAAATTTGGTTTATTTAACTATAAGGTATATACAGCCTTTATTGAATTTGTTCACGACCTTTAAATGATATTGTTGACTGAACCACATGTATTTTGTTGAATTTGGCTTGTTTCAGCCCTAATTGGTTGTGGCTAATGATAATGGTATGATTTTGATTCTCAATGATTTCTAGCATGTATGCAACTGTCGTTGTGGTCATCATTATTTTCTTTTTGGCTGGAACAATTGCAGTCATTTACTTTCAATATTGCACATCCTTTATAAATTTTCCCTGCTTACAGCATTAATGTTGACTAATATTTTATTTCTTTTCCTGGCTTTCCTTATATGCATTCAGATTATAAATCACCTGCTGATCCCAAATTCTTAGAAGCGTTTGGTAAGAACCAGTTTCCGACTTTGTTTTCCATGATAGATGTTTGGGAAATTTACATAAATACCACAATTCTTTTGCATTTACATATCTAACACCTTAAGTGTGATATTTACACTTATAACACCTTGGTATTTCACTTTTAAAAAGGTAGTGACTGATATTTTTTATGTGACGTTAAAAATTTTAGTGCTATGCATTTAAATGTGAATGTTTTGGCGTTAGTTATGTAAATATATAAGAATTCTGTGGCATGTATGTAAATGCCCCTATTTGTTTTAGTCAATGCATTTTTCACTTCTTTAAAAAATTACTGAAACCAGTTGGCTTTTTCTTATTTCTTGCAGAACTGAATCCAGTAGAGTCTGAAGATGTCCTTTTCAAGCAGGTTTGTCGTTTCTATTCATTCGCTATATATAATTTAATGTACCAAAATGTAAGCTTTTAGGATGTCAATGCCAAATAGGGTTTTGTTCTTTGTTTCAACCCTAACTTTCTTTGTTTCTCTGCCGGGCGATCTGGTTCTTAATTCTTTGATTAATTAATTTTTTTTTTTTTTTTTTTGTGAAATTTGTCTTGACAAAGATCATCAAAACTGTTAAGATTATTGTAAGAAACTGTATGTTACTGTTTAAGATCTGCATTATCTGATTTCACTTCTTTTTCTTTTATGATAGCTGATCTGTTCCTAGATAATGTGGTAAATTTCATTTTATTTTTATCATTAAGTAGATTAAACACTACTTAAGGCCATTTGATTACTCCATTGATTAGTTATTTTACTCTCCTTGGAGATATTCCTAAAAAAAGATTAAGCACTTATTTAATTAATATTGTGTTTTTAGCTAGTTAGGGCTGTGAATTTAGCTCGAAGATTGTTAATCGCTTGAAAGTTGAGTTGAATTTTGGCTCGGATGAAGATTGGATTGGAATAAATGTGCCGAGCTATGAGCCAAAACCTTGGATCAAATTTTTCTTGATCGATTTCAAGCCGTTGCCAGCTCGGCTCGAAATCAGATCGTTAACAGTCCTAGTGATGTTAGAGTTGTGAAATTAGCTTGAAGATCGTTAATCGCTCATCGCTCACTTGGATCGAAATAACGAGCCAAGCCATGAGCCAAAATTTTGGATCGACTTTTTTTCGAGCTAGTACTATAATTCATGCTCAACATCACACAAGTCTGTTATTTATGAAATCATAAGTTTGGCCTTGAGACATGATTGTGCCCATATATTTAAATTTTAGGGGCATTTACATACATATGACCCAGTTTTTATGTATTTACATATCTAACACCAAAATTTTTCTTTTTACATTCAAACCACCCAAATCTTTCATATCACATCAAAAATACCATGATTTAAACCTTTAAAAAGTGAAATACACCTTTCTATACATAGATAAGGTGGCACTTATTTAAAAAATTGAAGCTTAGATGTTAGATATGTAAATAAATAAAATTTGAGTGTTATTTATGTATAACTTTCTTAAATTTACTTATAGTTATCTTATAGTTCTTTGATTATATGTCAGAATGCCAGATTATTTTTTTTGGAGCAATAACATTATGTAAAATGCCAAACTTTACATAGAGCTTCTAATTTTTAGCTTAAAATTGCAATTATAACTTAGAAATGATTCTATTTTCTTCAGGCATGGCTTGCATATTTTTGGAGACGTGCAAAGAATCATGGTGTTGAAGAGGATATTGCTGAAGAACGCCTGCAATTTTGGATCAGTCGCATGAGCCAGTCACCAACTTCTCATGATGCTGTTGATGGTAACTTCAAATTTCTACTTTCAACCTTGTTTTTTTTTTTAATTACTTTTTTCTGACGCTAAGAAATTCTTATGATTTTGGTAGATCTTCTGTAATCTGTATTATCTGATGCACTTCGATTTAGTAGCAGGAGAAAAAATTTAGGCGGCATTGGTAATGAGTTTTGTAGCAGAATGACGTCCACAGATTTGGAATTGTTTAAACTTGAGTGCAATGTAATTAAGAAAGGTTTAAATACACTCCACTCAATTCCTTTGTATTTACATATCTAACCCCTAAACTTCAATTTTTACCTGCATCTCACCTTACCTATGCATGAAAAGGTGTATTTCACTTTTAAAACGTTAAAATAGTCGTATTTTTATGTCATACGAAAGATTTGGTTGATAGACATGTAAGAAGTAAAGTTTAGTTGTTAGATATTAAATTACATAAGAATTGGTTGGTATTTATGTAAATACCTTTATTTCAAAATAATTATGATTGATTACTCTAAAGTACATTCCTTCGGAAAAATTATGATGAAGGGTATTTTGAAGTTCCGGCAGTTGTTTAAAATCAGTAGAAATAGCGTTTAGTGGAATAATAAGGTCGAAGAACTTTATCTAATTATTTAGGATTAACTTTTGAATTATTCTTTCTGCTATATAACTGTGACTTAGTTTATGATAGAACAGTGTATTTATCCTATAACTTGTTGAAGAAAATTTCGTATATTGGCTCTCTTTTTTTCTGCTTTAATGGCCATGGGCAGTTTTATAATGCAGGAAAAATTGACCATTTCTCCTTCCATATAAAATTTCATTTGGTTGCGTGAAGATGGAAGTTATATTGGGGAAAAAAAATCACATGAAAATGAGTTTTAAAATTATTGGATTTTGTTTCGTGCTAGAAAATTCTCGATGCCAAGAAAAAATTCAATCTTAGCTCAGTAGAAATATCTAGCATACGCACAAATAGAATTGATGAAAGATGGCATAATTTTTAGGTGGAAACCCCAGCAAGGGGAAAAATCATGGGACTGGGCCAGTCGGAGTAAATCGATGGTATATTTCAAATTATAGGGTTTATCTCTTCTCTCCAACTGGAGAAGATGGAGTTATAGAGTGTTAAATGAGTCACATAGATCAATCAACAACATCCGGAACATAATTCGTGAGCTGCAACACATTTGAGTAGTGGTTGGCGATGATCGTGAGTGGTTTTTGGCTTCATCTTTTCTTTCTTAGAATGTAAACTCGACTCTCAAATTTTCACTCCTTTATGCCAAGTTACTAAAACCCCATGACACTTCATCAGTGGTCTGTGTTGGTTCTTTGAATCATAAATCATTTTCTTAGCATTCAAGTGTTGTACTGACGTTAGAATTGAGTGATCTTAGACTTATTATAGTTATAGTCTTCTCATCAAGACACTCAATTTGATTACGATCACGTTAAATTTAAAGATCATTCGACATTTTAATTAACACTTCAGAGCATTCAACCATACATTTAGTGCTTGATCCAAACTCATTTGGACCTCTATAAAATCTCTTTTAGCACCATTGGATTCGTATTGTCAAGATATTTAGTTTGTTATGAAGTTTGCTAAAATCATAGCCTTGATTATCTTTTATTTAACTTTAAAAATTATCATCTCTAATATGCATTGAAATTGGTGTCTAATCATACAGATTTTTTTTTAGTGACATCAGATTTACATTTATTTATTTATTGTCACAGATGTATTTTACTTCTTAATGCCCTTTCTTATTCTAATTTTTCAATTATATTCTGAAAAATGAATGAAGTTTGCTAAATCCATCATTTAGTTGAATGCAATGAAACATTAATTTTTATTTCAAACTCTAGAAATCTTTTCATACTCCTAAATAATGACTTTATCAAACTCAAAATATGAAAAATAAAATCAAAATGTGAATCATTTACATATATATCCTCCTTTTTATTTACCTAAGTGCAAAGCATTTACATATGTATCCTCCTTTTTATGTTCAGTGGAGCGAGGACTAGTAGAACTGAGAAAGTTGGGCATTGAACAACAACTGTGGGAAGTTTCACGCAGGGAAATTGATCCTCCCTCCTCTGTAGTCAGCCATGCAGAAAGCTCTTAGTTTTAAATTTAAATTTTTTGTATTTTTTTTTTTAATTTTTATTATGTTCAATTGTTTCATTTATCCTTTACAAAATATAAAAGGAGTTTTTACATAACCACCACTCAAAACATTAAATGTTTCATTTTAACCACCTAAATTTTAAATATAACACCTTAGCCATCCAAAATTTTTTATTTGTGAGTAATGGAGGCTGGTTATAATGAAAAAAGTGGTTAAAATATTATATTTAAAGTTTGAGTGCCTGAAATGAAATATTCAATATTTTGAGTGGTTGTTATGTAAAAACCAAACATTTGGCAGCATTAGAGCAGTTCCCATTCTTCATAGAATAATGTGTTTCTGAACTTTGTAACATATTTTTTTTGGGAAATTTACATGCATTCCACACAATTCTTATGTATTTACTTATCTAACACCTGAATTTGATGTTTACATTTATAGCACTTTTGATATAATAAGTCTATGCATGAGAAAAATGTATTTCATTTTTATGAAATTAGTACAAGTCTTAATTTTTTACATGGTGTTAAAGTTTCCACATGTAAATATTGAAGTTAAGGTGTGCACTAAGTAAATATAAAAGAATTATGTGGTGTGTAATGCATCCAAAAGCTTTCTGTAAGCAGACTAGCATTCATTTTAGATTGTATGAGCATTTGTCAGCATGTTATTCTCTCTCTCTCTCTCTCTCTCTCTCTCTCTCTCTTCTCTCTCTCTCTCTCTCCCTCTCTCTTCTCTCTCTCTCTGTATCTCTCTCTCTCTCTGTATCACTCAAGTCTTTATTATCATATTGAAAATACTAATATTTACTTCTGAAAAGTAAAATATGCATTTTGATGATATAGACTTGTGATCTCAATGTGCTGTGTAAATCTTTATGTGTTTGATATATAAATATGCTAGAATTGTGTGATGTGTATGTAAAATTTTCATACAAATATATTAAAATTAGATTGTTTAGATTAATTTAAAAATAAATGTTTGGTGCTAGATTCAAACTCGCATCATTCCTATGTAATAAAAAAAATAAAATCAAAGAAGTTATAATAATTTAAATTTAAATATATAAAATATATTATTATATAAATATATATTTTTGCTAAGTTGAGCGCGGCTAAACAAAAAATTGTTCGTGTAGAGTTTATTTATAATTTGAGCTTAAAAAATTATTAGTGTTTGATTCATTTATTTAGAGTTAATTCATATAAACTATTTAACAAATTGAATGTAAATTGTTCTCAAATAAGCTTTTTTGAAAGCCCTAAATAGAATGTGAATAAATTAAATTAAACAAGCAATAACAGTGATCTTACTGGTCACCTTGTTTTGAAACATTATTAGTAGCCGGAGAAACACAGTAACTTGAAGCCATGCTACCAGATTACCTCATTTTGAGGATGCTTCTTGGATGCCAACTTTTCATTTGCCACCCTTGCTCGTACCTCCTTTGTAATATGCGAGTCACATCACTGCTCCCTGTAATTTTACTTGCCACACACGAAAAATTGTCGTCGTAGCGGTATATTGAGGAATTGAGAGACGATGGAGAGCCAGCAACTCCAAGGCAACGGTCATGCTCTCTAAAAAAGACCTTGGCTTCGACACCTTTCACCCTAATGGCTCGACCCGGATTCCCCGGGTGCCAGAATAGGAATTGGTCTGGAACTTTTTATTCCAATCCTTTATCTTATTCTTCACTACCATTAGGCGGAGGTCTTTACCCGCTAAGAATATAGCATGGCCCTCATTGTCGAACAAGAATGAGAACAAGTATCTAAGGACTTCGATCGACCATGCAAGATTCTCTCACCGACAAAAAAGAACAAAGGTCATGATTAAGGCTATGGAGTTCAACATCACTCGTGCTTGTAGCCGATGAAGATGCTCTGAAACTAGTGGAATAGGGGCAATCAGAGGCCACGTTTAAACTAGTCTCGATAGAAGACCAGGTCTTTTCCTTGAGGATCCATCGCTCATGCTGATCCATGCAGCTTTCGAAGACCTATGCTCTCGTCAAGAGCATACATTCATTGTAGAGCCTTTACTTCGTTCTCTGTCAGAGACGAAGGGTCAGTTCCCTTCGCAGAGCTAAACAAGACTGGTGAATGTTTGAGGGTCATCTCAAGAGACAAGAGCAAAACTAGCTGAAGGACCAGAGAAGAAGAGAAAACCAAAGAAAAAAGATGGAACTAAAAACAAGTAAAGTGAAAAGAAACACTCCCTTCTCCTATTTACAAGGCGGACGCGTTAGATGAAGCATCACATAATGATTAGTATCACACTAAACGTCTTTTAATAGTTCATTAAACTATCATTTTATTGCAAATAATATTATTACAATCCTCAAACAAAGTGTTTTATAAAGGGGTCTTCCAAGACCTCGGAGGGGACATGCCCCCTTAACTTCCGGAGAACCATCTATCCACCTAACTTAACCTAATCTACCCGATCAACTTCTCAGTTGAACTTCACCATATCTGACATCTTATGGAGTACCTCCAACTCGAACAACACCTTGTTTAGCTTGCCTTAGAAAGCGACAAGCTCCATCCGCATAACCGCTACTTCAGCATCCAAGTGAGTAGACAGCTCCTACACAAGGTTTGCAGCTGAACCCCTGACGAGTCCCTCGAAAGGGCTGACCAACCCCAGTAACGATCCGATCTCTCCTGCCCATCATTCTATGATATCGGAGGATTGCGCTCACCCTGAAGGCCTCCCAGTCGGAGATCTATCACGAATGATGGATCAGGCAGTTGAAGAATTGTCGAGGCAGACAACGTGGGAGCACGACATCTCCAATCTGCATAACGACCACCACAGTAAGGGTAGACTCCATAGCATTCTTTGATAAACTGTCGTCTTGTTGTTCCTTCGACATGGCCAATTCAATCACAAATCTCTCCATGGAGGAGGCAATTTTGAAGGCTAGGTCAGAGGAACGACCACCTCACAATACGACGCCCCACTTTCTTGCCGCAGTGACCGCGGAAGGATTGTGACAGCCGCTCCCCTTAGGTCCTTACCACTCACCTAGATCGAAAAGAACTGTTGTCCCTCAAAATGCACACGAAAATCAGACTCCAAGGCCACTCGGAGAGGTCTATTCATCGACTGACCTTCTGCATCGTCAGATGAATCGACTATGTCGACCGCGTCAGATTTGGGCCTCAGTTTTTTCCTCCGTCGCCACTTTCTTCTTCTTTATAGAAGAGGGAATCTGAAAGCCCACCCTCACAAGCCTCTCAAGATATACAACGATCTGGCTTGATTTATGAGCCATAATACACCTCGGTTGTAAGAAGTAAAACTTGCAACAAATGATACAAGACTCAGTTCATGTATATTTATAGAGCAGGCGAGGCATGGAATCCTAAGGGAAGTCTTGTATTCAATCAAATAAAAAATTTATTGCTAATAATTATTTAATAATTTCCCCATTTGTATTATGTTTGTCACTATCAATGAGCAAGAAAACTTGGGGAACCAATATGTATGCACCAAAAATACCAATATGAATCTCAAACAGAACGAACGACTAAGATGAAAAAGCCTTCTCTTGAAGTAAGAAATCAACCGACGATTCAAGGCCAAGCATTAAGCCGCGTCTCCAAACCTGGAATAGGTTTAAGCTTTGAAGATGGTTCCCACTCGGTAGCAACAAGATTCACCGGAAGTGAGGCTTAAATCATCGTGACAGTGAGTCTCATCAGATACCCTGCATAGGTTGCAACAACATTTGTCTAAGACCTTGCAAGAATGAGAGATTTGGCCAAGGTGACAAACAAACCAGGTAAACGAGAGCATGAGCATTGTAAAACTTGAGTTGAACAGAAAGTGAGCTACGACTTACCCAACAAAAAAAGCTGACCGATCACATTTTACCGACCAACCCGTATCCAGACCAAATGACCACCTCACTACTGACTGCTCCAGTCGATCATGCCAAAAGACACCGGTTAGATTTCAATGCAGTCGAACACCTCAACCGACCAACTCGTACTTCATAGGACAAATACACCACTCACCCGGTTGTCTCAATCGACCAACTTCAAGCCAACAGAACAATCAATTACCAGAAATGTGAAAATTCAAATTGTAATGCAAATATGACATAAAATCTATACAATTAATTAGAGCCTTAATGACATCAAGAATGGTTTCCATAATCATTCCCTAATTTCTATAATTTTACAAAACACACCTTTATAAGATGAAGAAAAAATATGAATAAAGAGATCATTCATTGATTCACCCTACAAAAAATCAGACTTATTCCACTCCCTCTGTTCATTTCTCTTCTTTACCTGACTCTAACTCTAGGGGCGTGATTCACAAAAAACATATACCTTTCTCTTTTTTTTTTAAAGATAGATCATTGTAAGTAGACATATAATCTATATAATGGATCATAATATAAATATTACTTTTAGGTTAGTGCATTCTCGTATTAAAATAAAAAAAACTAGGCTAATCATTTGATCTATGGAGTTAAACATGTTTCATTGTCAAATCTTCTTAGACATCCATGAGAGGATAAGGAGAAGATATGCTCCTGATTGTCACCCACAATTTGAATCACCTAATCGAACTTAGATTACTATATAAGCAATCCATGAGAGAATTTTTCCAGCATCAGAAAATTATGCTGAAATTCTCACATCTTTAGCATAGGTTTTACTGTTTCAAAAATTAGGATTAGCGACTTTTCAAAATCACAAAATTTCAAACCTTCAAACTTGATTCAAAACCAATATGCTAGAAAATTTTCACTTTAGGAATTCACACGTTCCTTGTGGGATCGATACATGAACCCAACGTGCGTACACCTCTAAGTTTGAGATATGTAAATACATAGTAATTGGGTGATATGTATGTAAAGGCCCTTAATAATTATCTCGACGCACATGAAACGAAGAATCAAATTTCAAACACCATACAAAAATACACTAAACCATACTTAAAATCCTCATGATCTTATGTAAACTCGATTATAATCATATGAAATAAACATGAACAATACTTAAACAGTAAGAATGACAAACAAATTCAAATTAAACAGAAACTCAAAAGCTCAATTTGAACTATAGAGTTCTAAAATTGAATTCTATAAACAAACTAGTTTTAGTTTTTCGCACGCCCGGAAGGTCAATCATCGGCTGCCACGTCATTATAGATGGCCATTAAAAGCACGGATGTAATATTTTTTACCATTTAAGAGGAAGATGAACATAAATGATAATTATGGACACACAAGAGCCGAGATTCATGTTCGGCGGTACGTCTCAGTTCAGCGCTCAGTATGGGTCCGCTCAGTTGAGAGCATCCAAAGTGCCGCGCATGAAGGGGATCCAACGTGCATCAGAGCGCCGGCACAACTGTATATATTCTCCCTTCACCTCACGGAGATGGCGGTCGGCAACGGGGATCCAACGTGCTCGTGAGGTCATTTTCACGATTACTATTATTATTATTATTTTGTTTTTTTTGCAAAGAGCTCGTTCTTGCTGCTTCTGTTTCGCGTTCCTGAATTTTCGGCATCCTAGTAGAGGTGGGAGATTTGAGGTATGTTTTTTTTATTGTAAGTAGATGGGTTCTTATGCTATTTTGTTGATTGCACACAATTTTGGCATCCCCGTTTCCGATCGCTGCTGATGGGTGTTCGTCGGCACTGCTACAGTTTCAGCGTCGAGTAGTTTATACGGATGATGGATTCTTGCACATCTATGTGCCGGGCACATGTTCTTCTTCTTCTCTATCTCTTCTTGCTCTTCTCGTATACTCTTGCCACTGTAAGAGTCATGTTAGTTCGCACAGCCGGATTATCGTAGATTACATGTGATTTACATGCCTCTTCCTCGTGCTTCCACTATAAATCGCATTCCATTAGGCCTTAATAAGTGAGGTTCAAAATTTTGGATTATGCCTTTAGCTTCACTATAATCTAATTAAGTAGATGCTAATAGTACAGAGGGCGTGAGATCTTGTACTCATCTTCTTCAGCCTTCGGAATAGTATATCTCATTCTTTTTTCTACTTTGTAGTAGATGTGGACTAGTTGAATGAGCCGCTTAAACATTGTGTATCGTCTCATCTCTTCTATTTAATATTTTCTATAGGCCAAGCTTCATCCTTTATCATTGAAGTAACCCAACTCGAAGGTTCACCATTCAATTCAATTCCTCTTCCTATCTTAGTGAATTCTGGGGAACTTGTTCAATATTCTCTCCTCTTTCTCCATTAAAGTTTTCTCATGCTGACATTTATATCTCTCAGAGCTAGCTGAAAGAAACTGAATGCTGGATGCTCGATTCTGAGTGTTAATACATTGTTGCCCACTACTGTGTTCCTCCCTTCAGAAATCAGAGCAAAGTTCTTTATATGAAGCAGCTTTTGTAGCTTTTTAAGAAAACGGACTTCCCACTTCAATCAGTGTTTTCATCCTGTAGCTCTTGATCGTGCCTCTTTTGCTAGCTTTGTAATGCCTACAATATTGCCTTGGAATGTGGTTTCGGAGGTGCTGCCCCATCATCCCCAACAAATCTAGTTAGACAATTTATCCTTAAGATTCTGGCCTCCTTGTTAGTTCATTGATATTACACGTGCCCCTAGGAGGGCTCTTTCTTTGTTAAATTGCAAAGTACAATACTAATTCAGAGATTTTTGACCCTAACCTGACACATCATGCATTTTTTTTTTAATTTACACAGCCCAATTAACGTGAATATGACCTATTTTTATAATTAACACACCCATCATGAATTTTTATAATTTACAGTACCCGATTTTTGTGAATATAACCTATTTAATCCAGTTACCCGACACAAACCTGCTTAACTTCAACTCAAATATTAATTGGGCTAATCTTGGGTCGATTTCAGGTTATTTAAACTAACTTGAATCCAGTCTAAACAATAATTGCGTTTACTTGCTAAAATTGAATTCAAAGTGTATACAAATCAAATCAACCTGAACCCATATTTTTGAGTCAATTTGGGCCAGCTTATTTATGCACATCCCTAGCTTGAGATCATAATGGGGTCTACCTGCATTCTCTATCTGTTAACTTTCAATCCAAATGTTTCATCCGAGCCAAAATAATTAAAAAAAAAAAAAAATTAAAAACAAAAAACAAAACTAATCCCAAACAAGCCCTAAGTTTTTTTTATTTTGATGGAAATGGTGGCAGGGATAGTTGAAAAGCATGGTTGGGAGGATGCCAGGGCTAATTGTGCTGTTTGATGTTGATGGTACCCTCACGGCTCCCAGGAAGGTATAAAGGTTTTCACTAAGGTGGCTGTTTGCTCTTTATTCGGGGGGAACAACTATATGCCTGAGATTGCAAATTTGGATTTTGTGATTTTTAAGTTCTAGTTTTATGAATGGGTCATGATTTTTCCATCTCCTGATAGGGCGCATTTCACGCTAGGCCCTTGTTCTTTACCTTAATTTGACATATCATCATCTCATTGGAAGTCAGGTTCTAAATAAAATTAGCATTTTTAGTATTATAGCTATTCTTGGTGTAAAAATATAAGAAATATGATTCTAGTCCAGTAATTTATTTTGTTCAATGTCTTTCATTGCCATATCTCTGATCTATCTTTTAATTATCATAGGCAATAACTCTAAAGATGCTAGAATTTATGCAAGACCTACGGAAGGTAAACCATTACTTTCTTAACCCTTTTTTTGATATGTTAGTTATTGCACTCAAGCTGCTTGAAAATGGAATAACATTTCATATATCTTTTCATTGCATTGATGCTTGGCAGGTAGTTACAGTTGGTGTTGTTGGAGGGTCTGATCTGGTTAAAATATCAGAGCAGCTTGGAAAGTCAGGTTTGCACATCCGCAAAATAAAAATTTGCGACATAATACTGATTTGCCATCAGTAAATTATTTTGAGATGCCATTCCAAATTATATAATTTTCCCTATGATTTTTCTAATAACCATGCTTGGTAGAGATTTTCTTTTCTTCAGAACCATACCTTGTGGAAGTTTTACCATTTTTTTTTATAATGGTGCTTGGGTTTATTTGGAATTAACCTGTGTGCAGCAGAGCATGGTCTATCAGAGATGCGAAGAAAGTCGAACATTGTGCTATAATCAGTAAATTTTGAGTTATTTTAATCTATTCTTATGCCTTTAATTTACTGCCAAACTCCACAATTAAACAAAATAGTCTACATATTATTTTTGTTACTGTGTACTATACTATTGACAACTTCTTTATTGACATGTTTCTGTGGGATATGAGAATAAATTCCAGGAGCAAAAGTCCCTGGGACATATTGTTTTGTTGACCTTTATTATGGAGCGCATAAATCTTTGTATCTTAAACTTTTTGTAAGTGGAGCTTTAGCGGTATTTTTATGTGATATGAAAGATTTGGGTGGTATAAATTTAAAGATCAAAATTTAGGTGTTATCTATGTAAATACATAGGAAGTAGGTGGTATATATGTAAATGTCCCAAAATTCAAATGTTATTATTGTGATTAAATACTCTAGGACTGGTTTGGGAACAGATGGCCCAAATACACCAAATTGATTAATACAATAGGATTTCTTTAAACTAAATCTCCCAGTAGCCCATAAGTAGTTAAGGGCCTCTCAATCAAGAGCTTCTTGTTCAACCTTGGCATAATCATGAGATCAGTCTACTAATTGGCCCAACTTTTAAAGGAAAAGGGACTGTTCTAAAATTCTGGATACGTTGCCAGAGCTATATCCGTTCCTTGATATTTCAACATTTATTTATCTGATTTGGACTACTTGTTTCTGTTCGTTCATATCATCATTTTGTTTACTCTTTTGTTTCCTGTTGCTATGACATATTCGAATAGATCTTTTGTTATGCTTTCATTTTAGGCCTAAGATATGATAAATATTCTCTTTTGCAGTTATCACTGACTATGATTATGTCTTTGCTGAAAATGGCCTTGTTGCTTACAAAAATGGTGAACTTATTGGCAAACAGGTAACTTTTTGAAATATAATAAACTTTCTTGAAGACAATTCAATTTTTTGAAATGACCGCTGTGATATTCAAAACATAATTATTAACGTTGAGAATTTTGAACTTTATAGGGAAATAAGAATCCAGTTGTTATGTGGCAAACTTTCTTTCAGTTTTTGATTTGATCAGTGCATATCCAAAATACACTTTTAACCGTGACAAAAGAACTCTAGAATATTGTATCTTGTGTGGCACATTTATTTAATTAGGCATTTTCAAATTTCTCACTCATTGGTCCAGCAAGCCAGCCTCTAGAATTACCAGAATACCATCTTTTATTCAATTTTACCAATAATGAGGCATGTTTTATCCATATATTGAGATTTTATGGTAGATTTGCTGGAGAAAATGAACGTCAATGTTTATTTTTATTTGAATCAACTTATTATCAATGTCAGGTTGATAGACGGTTGTCTTACCTCTGTACAATTTGAAAATGTCGTCTTTGCCTTCTACTCCTACGAAATTTAGATAACATAAGGCCAAAGGTTGCATTTGCTTTGCTTGGAAACACAGGCACATATTAGCGTATAATTATGTGCGCATATTTGTGCACATGCTCTATCGCATCTAAAATCTTAAAAAAAACACAATTTGTGCTCAAATAGGGCATGATTTGGCTGTCGAACTTGTTGAACCAACAACATATACTAATTTTTTTTTGCTGGAGCTTTTGAGGCTTTTGTTCATTCTATATTCCTGCAATTATTAGGGCATGTGTAAAGTTGGAGAGTAGATGTTTAGATTCAACTTATGATAAGAAAGGCACTGGTAATCCTAAAATGACTTGAGAGCAAATTGTATAAAAAATGATCTTATTCTATTAGAATTAAATGAAACTATGACATTCAATACGACGCAATGGAAGAAAAAGGATTCATGTAACCGACCCTACTTAGTGAGATAAAGGCTTATTGTTGTTGTTGTTGTTATGTACTGGTGTTAATTCTAGTTAATGGGTTGGGTTTGATTTGACTTAAATTTGCCCCTAGCCAATCTCCATGACCCAAACCCCAACTTTTAAATAAAGTAGGTGGAATTTTTTGATTCGTCCCGATTAACTATTTTAACATACGGTATCATAGTTATTTGGGTCAAGTTTGGATTAAATTTGGTTTTAATTTTTAGGTCAAGTTTTGACTTAAATTCACGTCAAATTGCAATTTGCAGGTTAATCCGAACATCTCCTGAAAATTAACTAACAGTTCAAGATTCTGGATCTGAACCTGATCTAAAAGTTAGTTAGGTCAATCCAAACCTGGATTTCAAGAGTCAACTTCAAGTCGGGTTTGGGCTAGGTCATTTTTTGACACTCTAGGCTTGTGAAAGCATTGGATTTTGTCCCACTTCAGATAAATATATTGGTATGAAAATAAGAAGTGATGCCATGCAACATCAACAAGTGTACAAACTAATTACATGATCTTTGACAAGTGCTTTGCATCAATCATGAAAGATCACATCATCATCATCATCCTTCACAAAATTTGAAGCGCATGGAGTTTGTTAGATGAATGTGGTGTAGTTCTATCCAGCTAAATCTAGATTTTCTCGAGGTACCTGATGTGTATGAGAGTCTTGTGTCCAAGCCTTCACTTTGATGCTGATTTGCCCCACATCTATATATTTTTGGATGAAGGGAACCATGGGCCTAGCTACACTAGAGGCAGTGGGGCCCGTGCGGCCACTGGCCCAGCCCAATAAATTAATTTAATAACTGCCCCTCGCGTAATTGTGAAGGTTGCAACAAAGAGCTCATTTATGCTCAGCTCGGTTCGATCCCTTAAGCTGTAAATATATAATGCCTTATGGGGCAATTACAAACATAGCACCCGCAACATTGCTATTTACAAATCTAGTTAAAATTAGAAGGTAAAATTATTAATATTAACTCAACGGAATAGAAATAATATAACTAAAATCACAAATTGAATTTTAAATTAAATCTTTCAAAGATACAATATATTTACATTTTTAGTCTACAAACTCGTGTGCAAATATTAACTCAACGGAAGCGGCTATGATTTTTAATTTAAAGAGTAGGAGTAATTTGTCGTTTCATGAAAGATTCCCTGATATTTACAAACATATCACCCAATTTCTAGGTCATTACATATCTAACACCTAAACTCTAATTCTTACATATGTACCACCCAAAGTAATCTTGTCACATAAAAATATCATTATTTTAATTTCTACAAACTAAAGTACATCATTTCATTCATAGATAAAGTGAGATGTCAAAATTGAAATTTAGGTGATTGATATGTGAATACATAGGAATTGAGTGGTATGTGTGCAAATCATCCTAAATTATAAACATTGATTCTTAGCTCAAGTTTTAGTATTTTTTAGTTTATTTATTTTTTCATTTTTTAGGTTTGCTTTCTTCCAAAATAAGTCTGCGTTAGATAAAAATGTTATATTTCTTTTGAAAAATTTGAGAGAATTTAATTATTTTTAAGTTAGTAATATAAAATAATTTTAATATTGATAATAGAATAGTTATACAAAAGTTTCAACTAATATTAATATTTTAATAAGATGAAAAATAATAGTTAATTGAAAGAAAATTAAATTAAAAATTAAAAGTTTAAAATAATATTTTAATATTTTTGGGTCGGTATATTTTTATTAATTTCATATTAATCATGAACACAAAAGATTAAATTATTAATATTAGTCCCAAGTCCGGATAAAAAATTAAAAATAATTTTGAGATTATTAATTTGTGTCCCCATTGAAAATTTTTTCTAGCTCCGCCTCTGAATGGAAGCATGTTGTGAGGAGAGGGAGCAATGGAGAGAGATAGAGAGAGGAGGGCAAACTCTACAACCTTAGGTTTCGATCATTTTTACTTGGTTTCTCTCTTAGTGTTTCTAGGCCTAGAGTCGTGAAGCGTTGAAGCCTTCAAGCCACAAACATATATTGGGAAATTTACATACATGCCACACAATTCTTATGTAATTACATATCTAACACCCAGGTGTCATAAAGTTACACATGGAAATATGCATTCCACTTTTAGAAAGAAAGTGAGTGGTATATTGTGCTGTTAAAGATTTTAGTTGTATGTATGTAAATATGAATGTTTAGGTTTTAGATATGTAAATACATAGTAGTTATGCGGCATGTATGTAAAAGCTCCAAATATATTTTCTGGTCATATAAGTTTATACTAGATAGCATTGCATTAAAGAGAATAGCTCAGCCTTTAGGTAGAGACAACCTCAACTCCAATCTTACCCTCACATAATAGTCAAGGTATCAGGAAATTATTTCCAAGTCCAAATGGGTCACCTAATGATAGGTTGAGGTTCATTGAAAATCCACTGCAAATGGATGATAAAAAAGTTGCCTAGCAGCTTTTTTTTCTGTTTTAAACATATTTAAAATCTCATATCTATAGAAATTAATTTTGAATATTATATGCGCTCTATTATTATATTCTATATCACTTTTCTTACTGTTTGTTGATTTCTTTTACACTTCAAATGTTTTGGTTTTATTTATATAACCTCATATATATATATGTTTAATTTTTTCTTTCCAACAGAACTTGAAATCTTTTCTTGGTGAAGAAAAACTCAAGGTCTCATACAGCATTTCCCACTTTTGCCATTTAGTTAAAAGATTAGATGGGTAACTATATTTTCCTGAAATACCCTATGTTGAATTTCTTCCCCATCAATGCATTAATGCAGGAAATTATTAATTTCACGCTGCATTACATTGCTGACCTCGATATTCCAATAAAAAGGTTGGTGAAAACTTCACTCTTAAAAAAAAAAAAAAAACACATTTTGACTGATCTTTCATCGGATTCCTTATTGATTTGTAGGGGAACGTTTATAGAGTTCAGAAGTGGAATGCTAAATGTTTCTCCAATAGGACGCAACTGTAGTCAAGAGGAACGTGATGATTTTGAGATATATGATAAAGTTTGTAATTCTTATTGATATTACAGCAACTTATTAATATTGAAGATTGTTTGGTTCTTTAACGTAAGTGTCTGTAGGTTCACAACATCCGGTCAAAAATGGTCTCCGTACTTCGCGAAAAGTTTGAACATTTACATCTCACGTTTTCTATCGGGGGACAGATAAGTTTTGATGTAGGTTTATTTTTCCTCTTGAATCGGAGCAAAATCATTCAACCGCCACCTTACTTAACCTTTTTCTTGCTTGAAGGTATTCCCCAAAAGATGGGATAAGACTTACTGTTTACGATACCTCGAAGATTTTCCTGAAATCCACTTCTTTGGTGACAAAACATACAAGGTAACACATTCCTGCATTATATTCTTAGAGAACTTGAAAGCTTCAATCTCATGGATTTGTAGCCACTGGCATTTGATTTGCTAAATTTGTTGACTTTTTTTTTTTTTGGAAATTTAATAGTTTGCTACCAACAATTAAGTGTTTGTCTGGTAATGGCTTTAGCTGCTTTAGTAAATCAAATAAATCCAGAATTACTAAATCCAGGATTTAAGGAAAAACTGAGAAGAAAATTAATGAGAAATTGTATTTATCAAATCCAAGATTTAAAAAAACCGTTTTTGCTGTTTGACAAAATTGAAGTTTTCAGTTTACAAAAGTAGTTGGGGTTGGGGTTGTGATTGTTCATCATTAACTTTTATATTTTTTTAAAAAAATAAAACCACTTTTATATTTTATTTTGTTGTTTATTTATTTCTAATTCTATTTTCTTGTTTAAAATGTTTTTTCCAGTAATTATTATAGAAAGCGAATACATTTTCAAGTCATATCACAACTAAGCATGAGTTTCACCTTTACAATGTTTGGCTTGACGACAAACAGGCAGTTGCTTCTTCAATATATAAGACCTTTTAGCTTAAGGTAGTTGTCTTTTTATATTAAAAATAATAAAAAAAAAAAAACGTTTTAAACGCTCCTACTTCCATACAAAGTATGTTCCCAGAAGGCAGCTTCTGTAATGCTGTAATTTATTTAAATTAGTTTTCATTACCACTCGACGAGGCGCTCTAGTTTATCATCAAATATTACTAGTTCTTTTATGATTTTTATGGATAAAAGGCTTTCCCTCATTCACAGGGCGGAAATGACTATGAGATTTACGAATCTGAAAGGACAGTGGGCCATACAGGTATATTTATATATAAACTTCTAAATTGCAACATATTACCTCATAAATGTGGTTCTTTTAGCCAATCAACTTTGTTTAATTTAACTCTTGATGTGTTGAGGTGATTTTACATACATTCCACCCAATTCCTGTGCATTCACATATCTACCACATGATAAACTTCTCTTTTTTACATTCATACTACCGAAAATTTTCAAATCACATAAAATATACCGTCATTTCAACTTTTAAAAAGCGAGATACACTTTTTCATGCATCGGTAAGGTGGGTATGTATGTAAAAATTAATTTTTAGGAGTTAAAATAAATCAAATAGATAACAACAATAGAGAGGCATGCATGTAAATCTTCGTTTACAATTCCGTTGATTCTGAAACCTGTTTTGTTCTGACAAATTTTTTTCATATTTATTTCATTCATTTTGTATTACAGTAATCAGCCCTGAGGACACAGTTGAGCAGTGCAAAGTCCACTTCCTAGCAAAGCAAGCTGGTGACGCCTAAGTTATTGATGGGAGTTATTATTCCCTGGTTTGGTTCTTCTGATTTGTGCCATTGAGTCCATTCTTAGTTATTTTAAATAATTTGGTCTATGATGGCCACTGCATGCCTATCTTTTTTACTGTAATATGTCATAAAACATGTTACTATTATTATTATTATTAGTGGTGGTTAATTCATTGTACTGCCTATTTTTTGTTTATGCTGTCAACAGGTTATTTTAGTGATGCAATTAGCTACATACATATCACCACAATTCATGTGTATTTGTCAAATTTCATATTGATGCGCATAACATTTAAGTCTTTAAAATTACATTAAAAAAATATCACTATATACTTATTTTTAGAAGTGAAATTTATAATTCCATGCAGCGTTCATGACACCAAAATGTTGTGTAGTTAAATTTGTAAATACATTGGAATTGTGTGGCATGTGTGTAGATTTTGCTATTTCATTTTAGCAAAATGACATGTGTTTAGGGTTACTGCATCAATGATCTTCCAGGTTTTCATTTTAAACCAATTTTAGCAAATTCTTGAAATCATAATTGCATAATAATAATTATGCAATTATTATTATTATTACTATTATCATATATGCATATATATTTTTTCGATATATGTTATTTAGGAGCATTAGACATACATTCACCAATATTTAAGTTTTTTTTTTTGCATTTTGAAATATTTTCAGTTGTGGTATCATATAATAGACATAAGTAGGGGTGTAAACAAGCCGAACACGAGCGAGCCATGCTCAGCTCTTGTTCGGTTCGTTTATATTTCGAGCTCAAAAAGTGTGTTCGTCGTTTGCTTAACGAGGCGAACACGAGCTGTTGACGAACAAAGAGTCAATTTAACAACCCTAATCATGTAGTCATAAGACAATAAGAGTTTGAGCAAGATTTAAAAATTATTATTTATATTAAAACATTATTTGAACTTAATTTAATAATTTTTATTCTATTTTCTTAATCAATATTTTAATTGATTATAAATCTTTGTAGCCTTGTAGTCAATTAGATTTTTTTAAAATACTATTATATATATATATATATGTATGTATGTATGTATGTATACATACACTTGATGAGTAATATTTCGAGCCAAAACGAGCCGAACATGAACGAACATATCTTAGTTTGTATTCGGCTCGTTAACTTATCGAACGAAATTAACGAGCCGAACACGAGCTATTCGCGAACAACGAGCCGTTTTGACAGTCCTAGACATAAGAAGTATGGTAGTAGAATTATTATTCTTGTAGTGGGGCTGATCATACAACCAATATGATTAATGTTGGATTGTGATTAGTGGTCATCAAATAATAATATATAGTATATTTTATAAAATATAACAAATATGTTAAATAAATAATAAAATTTGAGTGAGAGATAAATAAATACAAAAGAACTGTGTGGTATAAATGTAAATCCTCCTTAAATTAATTAAGGGGCGTTACATACATACAACCTAATTCTTATATATTTACATATATAAAACCTAAACTTCACTTTTTACATTTATATTTCCCAAACCTTACATGTCACATCAAGTTCTAATATTTTAAATTTTAAAAAGTGAAATATAACTTTTCATGTATAGTTAGGGGGAAAAATATTACATCAGGACTCCTAATGTAGAGCTACGTATGCGGACACGCGCGTGCTTTCCTGTGATCCGGCCCAGTAACACAGGTGAATATTCCTCCCGTGTTATTCCACGCTATTCATGTGTTATTGTAGTGATATTGATGTGTTTTATTATTATAACACAAGGAATATTCCCAAAATACAATAATAAATGAATACAATCACAATAACATCTGAATTATGTGGATTAACGCGGAGGAAAATTTCTCTGCGTTAAAAAGTTTTTTTAAAATTTTTTTGTCACCTCCACGTGACGCTATTTCACTGAACTCCGAACATAGCTTCACGTTAGGAGTCCTGATGTAATATTTTTTTCATAAGTAGGGTGGCATAATGCGGTAGATATGTAAACACATAAGAGTTGAGTGATATGTATGTAAATCTTCCATTTATTAAGTAATTTAATCTTAAAAGAAGAAATAGTCACAAGCGGTTAGGGCTGTCAAAAAGGCTCATTGTTCGCGAACAGTTCGTGTTCGGTTCATCAATGAGTTCGTGTTCGATTTGTTCGATAAGTAAACGAGACGAACGTGAAGAAATTTTTTTCGTTCGGTTAGTTAAATGAACCAAACACGAACCGTGATGCGTTCGTTCGTGTTCAAATCGTTATTATTAGAAATATAAAATAATTATATATATATATA